GTCCATTTGTGTGTGTGTGTACTCATAAACTGAAGTGGCAGGCTTGGAAACAGGCAACCTGAATTGAATTCATCCAACAAAATAGTAAGCAGCTTTGGCCAAGTCATGCTATGTGAAATCCCTAATCCTCATCTACACAATGGAATGAATATTAAATATCATCATATTATGAATGATCATAAGGATGATGCCAATGCTTTTCAAATGTGCTGTGAGCAATAAGAAAATAAATATGTTTTTATTCCAAAAAAGAGTATTACCAATGTAACTCAGAGGGACCGAAGTGATTAGACTGGGATTAGGAAACCTATGGTTGTCTAGTACCTACAGATATTGGACAACATTTCTAATTTTGTTCTATTATGTTTCATATGGAAACATAATACCATATGAAACATTAGCCCCAACATTTGAAGGGCCACAGGTTCCCCAACCTTAACTTTAGACCCCCTGTGAACTGTAGAATGGAAAGGAGATTGAAGATTTTAAAGGACAGTTTACACATTTAATAAGATCAAGTAATTATTCTTACCCAGATTATCTGTACACATTGGCTATAGATGGCAACCGCATATCTGAATCCTCCTAAATAATAATAAAAATACTCTATACCGGTCTTGGCCAATTTGATATTCTCTAAGTGCACTGGATTGACTCCCATAAACATTACTACAAATGTTATGCTGGACTGTGACTGTAATAAAAATTTGATTTGATTTACTGCAATTGAAGAAGGCTGCCCTACCCTTGTTTATTAGACTTATTATAGCATCATCTATTGAGATCTCTTGGTAGCTTACGACAAAACATAAAATCAAAATTAAATCAGAGGCATTAAGAACAAATAAAAACAGATAAATGCATATTCAAAAGGACATATTTTAAGTGATATTTTAAAAAGGAAATTAGAAGACTAGGACCCTAAAAACAGCAGAGAATGCATTTCAAAAAAAGATAGGGTGGCTACAGGAAAGCACAGCTCAGAGTTAATGCAAGATGAGCCTTCCCCTTGTATGCAAATCTCCTTAGGTAATATCAATAAGCTGAGGAGGGATCATATTGAAAAAAGTAATTCCTCAAGTAGCCTACACCCAGGCCAAATTGGGCTTTAAAAGTACCAAAAAGCACATCATATTTCACTTGGAAGAAATTGCAATGTTTTTAGTACAAATAAAATGGGGGCTTCTTTAAATTCTTCCAGAGGCTATCTTAGCTTCTGAGTTCTGCAGCATTTGGACTAGACAAAGAATAGCTCGGTTTAGAAGTATCAAGACTGGAGGTAACCAGTGCACTCCCCAGAACGTTAAGATCATTTTCTTCAGGGACATAGTTGACACATGACACTGCTTCTAGCTGAGAAATCAGACAGAGATGGAGCCAGAAGCACCCCCCAAACCGAATAGCTGCTCCTTCTGAGACAGTGTGGCCCCACCCAGAGATCTACTATCTTTCTGGAATTCTAACTCGTTACAGTAAGTAAATCAGTCTTGTCTGGGTTTATTTTCAATTTACCAATGGCAGGCAGACATTCAGGAGAAACGTACCATTACTTGAAGATGGTACAGAGAAACAGATTTGTGTGTCATCAACATAATGACGACACCCAGCTCCACATCATCTGCTGCTCTCTGAAGACTTTCATGGAAATATTGAAAAGCGTTGGAGACAAAACAGAACCCCAAAGGACGACACGTGTTAGCGCCTATTTCAAGGAGCAACTATTTCCAAGTAACATTGCCTGAAATCTACATGGAAAGAAAAAGTGTCTCCTATTCTCAGAAGGATATCATGATCCATCGTATCAAAAGTAGCAGGGGGGTTGAGAATCATCATCAGAGTCACATTCCATGTCAATCCCCAAATATCATCCATCAGACTGAACAAGTCAGTCTCAACCTTGTTACCTGCTCTGAAGCCTATTTGAAATACAGCAGCTCAAGATAATTTGCTTCATCCAGGACTACCTGTAGTTAAGAAATCACCACTCTCTTACTCAACTATATTACCCATCTCCAAAAGATCCAGTGCAGGCTTCTTTAAAAGTAGTCTAATAATGGCCTCCTGTCAGCCCCACAGGAAGGCTATGACTACTTTTATTGAGATTGGTTTGTTCTGGATTTAAGCCATGTTTTTCTCCTCGTTGCTATGGTAACAGATCTGGTTTATCTCTGTCAAGGTCATCTTCCTTACTCTCTATACTTTCTTTAAACAGGAGACATCCTACCTCAACACTGTAAGTTTTTCTGCTAAGCCTTCTCCCGGTAACTTTCAGCTAGACATTACAAGCCAAATTGGGCAAGGATCCAGAGGACAAGTGACAGAATGTACTACTCTAAACAGCCTGCCATGTCATCAAGTGTCATAAATTGACATTGATCCAGTTACCAGACACCCCCATAATTGACTCTGCATCAATAGCAGTATTTGGTCTGGGTTGAATACAAGAGATTTTATTCACAAAAAATCATTACAAGCTTCACAATAAACTTTTGAGGGTTCTAAAGTTCAACTCCTGGGGGAGGAGAAGGAAGCATCATTACACAAAACAATTCAGCAGCCCATGAGCTTATGCAGGAAAAAAGAAAAAAAAACCTTTCAGTCTTGGAATCCTGCTGCACTCAATAGGCTTTTCAGGCAAATTGAAATTAAAAAAATGTAAATAATAAAGATTTAACTCTGCCTCTAAATCTGCATCAGCAATATTCTGGGAAAGGCTGTCCAATGTTTACTCTATTACAAAATGATCTGGAGTTTTTAAATAGGGTCCCAGGGAATTTATTTCAAAAGCCTTGGTATTTGGAAGAAAGTTTGTGGGGAGGGTTTCAATGTAGAGACTCAATCAGGCGAAAAATATTCTACTAACATTTTCATATCTGTAAAGTAGTTCCTGGCTCTCCTGGATACTGCCATATCATCTAAGAACATTCCAACTTATAAAATGTTCTTAACAGTTTCCAGTGGAATTACCTAGAACTAAAATCTGGAGTTTCCACCATAACAGAAAGCTAGGTTCTCTCCACAGCATTGTCCATACTGGTGTAATTTCAAGAAAAAGAAAGGAAGGACTGGAGGAGGAATAAGTAAAATGAATTTATTTATAATCAGCTTTAAAGTCTCATAAAATCTCATGTCTGATATGATAATTTATTTTTAAACTATCCATTCTATTTTTTAATGTGAAAGGAAGAGTTTAACGCATTAACTGAGCCTTCTATTTTTTTGAAAGCAATCCTCCTAAAAGGTAAGAATTTTAGGGAGAGAGAAAGAGAGGATGGAAAGAGTTTAGGTTTCTTTGAAACAAATATGATTCAAATTGACAGTGATTCTTTTATAGGAGGAGGTGAAGATTAATCAAAGAATTACATAAGATATCATGAAACCATGGTATAGTCCAGATGAGTTCCTCAAAGTACAACATTCTCTGTAATTCTTCACTGAGTGTGGGTATGTTGGTGGTAGGTCCTGAACCCCTCAAGAAATACATTATTTATAAAAGGGATGTGGAATTAAGATGGAATTCTCCTAATCCCGCCTCTGAGAACTCTATGTCTATTGATACAATAATTTCTCAATTTTAGGGATTTCCATTCAGTGGATTTTGTACACAACTGACAAAATTTGACCTTGGACTTTATTCCCTAATAAAAAATGAAGTTCATTGTTTCCAATTCAATTTGACCAACAGTTGCTTCTAGAGGCACCCATTCTACGTATTTGTAAAGATTATGGTGTGAAGTAACATATCATGTCAGACATTCATATAACAAAAGAGGCTTTGAAGAAATATGTGTTGTAGTATAATATAAATGCTGGCACTAAAACAATTAAATCTGAGACAAGAAAGCATGAAAATGGCATAGGAAACATCCCTCAGTGAAGCAGAATATGTCCAGCAATGGTCATAAGGGGTGAATGTACATGGACTGAAACTAAGATCAGCAGCTAATACAACAGCAAGCTGCATGAACTTACATTTCAAAGTCAATAATAGATAGCTGTGGCAATTTCATAAACATCATAGAATTATTAATAGACAAAGGTCTGGATAGGTTTTGAGCATGCCAGCAGAGGGGATTCATTGCCCCCTAAGATGACAGTGTTAACTTCTCAGGTGATTCAACAATTTTTACATAACAAGTGATTCCAATTAAATGTTCTTTC